TTAGTTCCATCTTTTTTTTTTTTTGGTAATAGAAATAAATTCTATCCCCAATTGTAAAAAAAATTGTCAATTTAGATGTAAAACAAAGCCAAACGAACATAAAAAAATTTTCAATTTTTTTGGCAATCCAAACAAATTATATCCCCAAGTGAAAGAAATTCTATCCTTTTAATTGATAATTTTCATGAAAAATAAAGTCAAACGAACACCAAAAGATAGAAAATTTCAACATTTTTCAGGTGAAAAATTATACCAATCAAAGACAATTAATTGACAATTCTTAGTAAAACAAGTTATAGGCAATTCAATTCCCTCCAATTCATTTTCTTTCTATCCAAATTCCATCTTTGAATCAAACGGACCCTAAGGCCCTGTTTGATAGCCTAGAAAATGGGTGGGAAAAGAAAATGTTTTCCAACTTTAGCCAATTAATGGTGTTTGATAGCACAAATTTGCCTGATTTTTGTTTTTCCCACATTTTTCTAGGTACAACCCTTTGATGCACATTTACTTGATTTTGCTTTCCCACCTATTAGGTGGGAAAGCAATTTCCACCCTTTTTTTAGCAATGGCAACACATTCTATTATCAATTGTAAAAAGAATTTTCACTTTTGTCGACAAATTCTATGCAAAACAAAGTCAAACGAATGTTATTTAGTATGGTAATTTTTTCTAATTAATTTTTTTTTTACTTTTTGGTACTTGGAACAAATTCAAGACGCAATGGTAGAAAAAATTATAACTTTAATGGACAATTTTCATAAAAAAGAAGTCAAACGAACACTAAATTTTCAACATTTTTCAGGTAAAAATTATACCAATCAAACATAATTAATTACAATTTCTAATAAAACAAATTCTAGGCAATTTAATTCCCAATAAAACATTTTTTTCTACCAATTTTCTACATTTACAATCAAACGGACCCTAATTGTTAAGAGAATAAATAAGGAACAAATAGTGCAAATTTCTCTCAATAAGTTAGTTAGGCAATATTTTATACGTACAAAGTAAAGATCATCCTCACGTAGATGTGGAGTAAAATGAAATGACATGATCAATTAAATATATGAATTTAAGATGCACGTTATTCATCTTATTATTTAATATCACTGTTCATGCTTACGTATATCCATCAATAATTATTTTATGTGCAAAGATATCAAAACACATCTTGCCTCCCTAAAGAGAGTCCTGCTACTTGGCCAGGGTGGCCCTGGCCATCTTGGGGCCATGTGGAGCACAGACCTTCAGCCAATAGGGGTGGCCCCTTTGGATGGACATGGCTGTGCCCTGTAATCCTTTCCAACTAATGATGTCTACTCAATAACTAAGGGTATGGGGGATGTCCACTAGATAGAAGTACTAGTGACATAAAAATAGGCCCCATAGTACTACTACGTGCTGTATAATGTCTTTGCTTAATGTAATAAGTATAAAATCATTTGTACATTGTCTTGTGTACATTGTGATTTACACTCTATTAAGTTTCAAATTGAAATGGACGGGGAATGTGTTTTTTTTTTAAAAACTGTCCAATGATGTCAAGACACGTGATACAATGTCAAATTTGTTTTCAAAGAAAATATACATGTAGCATGATTCCTATGAAAATTAACACATCCAACCACCCAGACATGACTGTACTATTTATTAGCCTAGCCACATACCTTTCTCAACTTTTTGGCTTATGAGGTGCAAGACATACTATTGTGTAAAATTTGGTCCAAAAATTTTTTGTGGTTCTCAACTTATATGAAAGATACCTTTTTATCGAATGCCCATAGTAAGTAGGAGTTGCCTTTTCCACCTTAATTAAAGTCTCATTTTGAAACTCAAAGAAGGGCACGAATGAAGCAAGATTGGCTAGGCATTTGGTACAACCTCGGTCCTAGACGACTTGAATAGTTGGGACATACCCTAGATGCATCAGTATAAAACATGTCGAGCCAACAAAATTACAAGTCGATCGAAAATTGTGAGTCATATTTGGGCCTTTAGAGGGACTTGCCTCGAGTTGCTTCTAGGATGACAACGTGAGCACTTTTGTACTTACGTGAATGAAACCAAGAAGATTACATATTTTCTTAATTTCTTTTTAAAATTACTTCTTATATTACTATTAATTTTGCAATACGATTGAATATTTGATCTTAGATTATTGACAAAAAAAA